TTATGGGAGTTTTATAAACACCCACTGTAACCTCAGTCTTTTGTTATCTTCAAAGTTAGCTTCTCAGCATAACATTTCTGAACTGTTTGTCATTTGGGTCTTTCTTACTGAGTACTGTGTCTTATGACTTGATTTTAATCCTTCCGTTAAAACCCTCAGCCTTTGCTGCAACATTGCCTGGAGATTGAGTGATTCACCATGTGGAAAGTAATGTTATCCCTTCTCAAAAATATTTTAGCTTGTAGTCACATACATTTCAGATTCATTCACTACCATCCCTTAAAAATCTTGATTCTATGCACATTTTTCATAAAATCTATAAGCATGAGAAAGTAAGAAGTCAAAATGGAAACAAAAATAGTAAGTTTTTTTTCTGTTGTTGTTTATAAAGATAAGAAAATGCGTGTATCCTGCATATTGCCTGCTTTAGAAGTTGGGTAGAATGTTAAAGAAACTCTTAATAATTCAAGTTTATACCGTGCGTTTGTCCTGAAATATGTATTTGTGCGCCTATGTCAGCCATTAATTTGAGAACTGTTACAAGGCCATAACAACCTTTTTTTATATTCCCAATAAACAAGAGCCCAACTCAGCAAATAGCTTTTCTGCCTGGTATTGTTTTATTAGTGTGATAGCTTTACGGCAATGATTCATTCCGTGGTTTATTGGCAACAAGGCGAGTTACTATAGTTAAATATTTTTCATGGTGCAGTAATTTGCAAAGCTGAGCATCTTTGATTTTGTGTAGTGGTAGAAAGGCCACCAACTGGCTCATTCTCAGCATAGACGTCAACTTTCCATGGCTTCATATGGTTTTCCAGGTGATGGAGAAGAGTCAAGATTGCCATTTTCACCCATAGGTGATAAGAAATGGCTGGCTGCCCCTCAGTGGATTATTATTTCAGTGTGGGTGCTTGCAGCTGTGAATCATAGCTCCAAAAATAGGAAAGCACTTTGTGATGGTACTTATTAGCAAGTGTCCTTCAGTGGCTGTAATTAATTCAGCGGTTCTTTCCCTTTAAAGGTGACCAGATAACCCATAGCCAGCCAGTCTGCTTTCTCAGATAAAGGGCTTTTCATTTTCCTTTTAACTTTCCATGCTCCTGCAAATCACCCTGGCTTTCTTCCTCCTTTCGATGCTGTGTACCTGAACCTAAGACTATTACATGGTCTGAAAGCTTTGAACATCAACGCTGTGATCAGCCAGTAAAGCAGTCCAATTTCCACTTTGTTCAAATAGAGCATTCCTGTCTTGTCTGGGAAAGTGTCTGCCAATTCATTTTTCTCTTCTTATCAGCAAAACACATATATACTGTTCTCATGTTGCTTAATATAAAACACAAGGAAAAAATCTCTGAACAATCAGGAGACCAGTTAGAAAAACTGCCTGGATTTTTGCTGTCATCCCAAAGCACACACTTTTACTTGCCATTAAATGAGAAAACAAACTGACAGAGCACTGATTTTGCAGGTGCCAGTCATCACAAATTATCAGGCTTTGATAATGGTCTTCTTCAAACTGAGATTATATATTCAGCCTCTTAGGAATCATTTCCCTCCCTTTGACCCCCAAGCCACTAAATCTGGCTAATATGCTGATGGTCTGAGACAATAGCGACTAACTCATATTGCAGCAATTCTTGGCAAAGATGTAAGGATCCAGACCCCTAATACCGTCCAAGACACTCCGATCAAAGATAGCACAGAAGGACTATTTCATACCCAAAAATGTATCACACTCTTTATCCATTGTTTTGGCTACTTATTTTTTCATGAAGCAGCAACCTCTTCTATTCACTGTAGCTGTCCAGCAGGAAAGAACTGAATCTCTCTTTTTCCTCATGGGTAAAGGAAGGATTGAGGGCAATGATGGTTCAGTGGGTGCAGGGAAGGCAAATGCCATTGTAACTCTGCCCTTAGCACTTTACATTTTACTTCAAAATTGTGAAGGGAAAAACTGGCCAAAGTCTAGATCCCTTTGTTCTGGCCCCCTGGTTTATTTCCTTGTTTGTTTTGTTTTGCAACCTGTATCTGTTGTATGTTGGGATAGAGAGGACGCAGAGGGGAGGTAAAAAGGAGAGGAGAGGAAACCATTCTCATTCATTCACATATGCATCTGTAGCATCTCCCACAATGTTCACCTAGATGCATTTCTTTAGCTTCTACTGTATCCCCAACATGCTGCTGAGCTGTACAAACAAAACATTTCATGGAAGGGCATGAGCCAGGCCACCCGTAATCAAATTCTGATCCCACCACATGCTAACTTTGTGACCCCTGGAAAGTAACCTAATCTTACTCTTTCCCTCTCTGTAAAGGAAGGACTAGGGGCAGTGGTAGAATTCTCGCCTTCTATGTAGGATACCTGGGTCCAATTCCCTGCCAAAGCATCTCATGCACAGCCACCACCCGTCTGTCAGTGGAGGCTTGCATGTTACTGTGATGCTGAACAGGTTTTAGTGGAGCTTCCAGACTAAGTCTTCCAGACTAGGAAGAAAGGCCTGGCAATCTACTTCCTAAAATCAACCAGTGAAAACCCTATGAATCACAGTGTCCCAATCTGCAATGAATCATGGGAATGGTACAGGACTAGGCAGCATTTCATCCTGTTGTGCATGGGGCTGCCATAAGTGGGGGACCTACTCGGCAACAGCTAACAACAACAAAAGAAAGATTAGAAAAATACCTCTCTCAGCGTCACTGTCAGGTCCTAATACTTTAATACATGCAAAGCCACTTACCACAGTGCTTGACATCTAGTGAGCACTCGACAAATGTTAGTGATTACCTTTACTATCCTTGCTCTCAAAGTGCTTATAATCCAGTTAATAGGGACAATGCATAGATAATCGTGTGAAGTTGTGTGATACAGATGGTAAATACAGTAGAATTTTAGGAGAAAAATATAACACTAGAGTTAGCTATAAAACTGACATTTGAAGTAGTTCTACTAATATCAAGTATCTTTTGAGTCTTTGTGCTTCATGAACTCTCTTAGGGTTTTCTTTTTTCCCCCTGATTTTGTACTCTGTTCACAAATTATTCTTTTGAAGCTCTGCTACAAATGGGACTGCACGTTCTACACTAGAACTGTGTGTTTCCAGAGGCCAGGCTCCCTAGCTTGACTGAACATTGAGCAAATGCAGTGATTTATTCTCTGCCTCACTGGAACGCCCATGGAACAGCATGCTTAAATGCTCAAGTAAAGGGGTCCACAGATTATAATGGATGAGTGCTGAGGACTTTAGGGATATTTTTCTTAGTAGCTGTTTTGACTTGTTTATAGATATAAACAGGTAATGTGAAGATGAGAAAATTGCTAAGAATTCAATCTAGAGTAAAGAATTGTGGGGATGACATGCAAAGTTATGCAGAAGCTAAAGCAAGATTTTCCTGTATCTAACTCATCTAGGGCCAGAGTATACTAAGCAAAGCATATCAGGCTCCACTCCAGCTCACGTATGTCTTTGAGACAGAAAAGGAAAGGATGTTGTTAGGTGCCATTAAGTTCAGTCAATTTCACTCATAGTGACCCCACGTGACAGAGTAAAACTGCCCCATAAGGGTTTTCTTTGCTGTGATCTTTATGGAAGCAGATCACCAGGTCTTTCTCCCAAGGAGTGGCTGGGTGGGTTTGAACCACCAACCTTTCAGTTAGCAGCTGAGCGCTGAACCGTTTGCACCACCAGAGCTCCTTAAAAAAGGAAATAGTAGACACATTAGAGAGCCATCAGGTCCAACAGTGTTAGAGGACAACGACCTGGTCCTGCATCAAACTTGCCGAAAGATCCTAGATAAGGCACTCAGCCTCTTTCAGAATCTCAGTTCTCCAATCTATGAAATGGTAATAATGATACCTTCTCTACTATTTGACAAGGTTTTTCTGAGGGCAAATAAAATAGTGTCTGTGTAAATTCCTTGAACTGTTAAGTGCTACAGAACTGTTTGGTGGTGTCATGACAGAGTTTACAATCTAAAAGAAAAAATAGGACAAAAACAAAAAGGTAACAGGTTCCTAAGAACATAAAGAAAAGAAGCAGTTAGACCAATTATGCAGTATATGTGGAAACAAATGTATAATTTTACCAAGTATTTGTCCATGGGATGACTAACGTTTGACTCCAGTGATGGTCACAGCAGGAAAGAACAGTTAACTTCTGTTTAAACCTATTATTTTAAGAGCTTCTGTTTAAATGTATTAATTTAAGGAATTAGGGATATGCTTAATAATTTAGGAGCCCTGGTCGTGCAGTGGTTAAGAGCTCAGCTGCAAAGCAAAAGGTCAGTAGTTCAAATCCACTGGTCACTCCTTGGAAACCCTATGGAACAGTTCTACTCTGTCCTATATGGTTGTTATGAGTTGGAATCGATTCTTAATAATAATAATGGTCTTAATAATGTAAGAAATGCTGTATTGATACACAGGTATTAGTGTACAAAAATTTTTGTAGAGCCTTAATCTGTTTTAAATTGTAAAATCTATTATATCTTAAGTATGTGAGAACATAGATATGTTTTCATTTATTCATGGCCACTAATAACTTTCATCAGGGCAAAACTTTTTACTTCAACCAAACATTTAGCCACACCAGTATATTATGTCTACAACTTTATTCATTGTCCTCTCTACAGTGATAATAATATGCTCGTGTTGTATTTATCTATAACACATGCTTTTGTTGGAATAATCTTTACGATAGAATTTGGGACAACACCTGGCACAAAGAAGGCCCTTAGAAAACTATCAACAAAGACCTGCTAAGAGTTCTCAGGTCATTTTGGGGCAGGTGGCATTACTCTTGGAATCAGCGGACACCTCTACTTCAAGAAATCAGTGATTGTTTTTAAAAATGTGTGCATGCTAGTAGAGAGAGAGCCTATAGCTTTTGTCAGATTCTCAAAGAGTTAAGAACCAGTTGTCTTAACGGGAATAAGTGATTGGCATCTGGTTGAGCTAAACTCCAAGGGCTTTCTAACAGGAAATCTGCTTCTTGTCCTAGGTATTAAAGTTTGAGCCTGGCCATTTCAAGAGGAGGGGCAGAGCTAAGAATATGGCTCTAGTTGACATCCAGTTGGATCACCATGAGCGGTGTGATTGTATCTGCAGCTCAAGACCACCTCGATAAAAGAATGTGCATGTACTTACATTAAGCCTGGAAGAACCTTTAGTTTAAGGAGGGTGTGGTAAGACCCTTTTCCCACCAGCAACCGAACTTACTACTAGCCTGCCATGCCATGAATGCAAGTGGTTGCTGAGTTTCAACCTAGCTTTGTTAGTGTCATGTAAAGTAGAAAGGTGTATCATCAACTATCAACTTCTATATTCAAGAATATAGGATTGCATTTACTAATAGTGTCTGGGGATATATATATATATACATATACATATTCATGTCTATGTGTAAATAGATATATCAAATGGTTTATCCAATATATATATAACCAGGTACACCAAAGCTTATACAGGGTTACTTAGGTCCTTAAAATCCTTTGACAAAATAAGGTATGTGTTAAATACATGACACAATTCTTTAAAAGTTCTGAAGATGAATTTAATTTGTTTATATTTTAATTTTTGAATGACTAAACAGTTTTGGTCCTTGCTCTCTTAAAAAAGGCACCTTGTGTATTAAAAACAAAAGGTGAGTTCTTATGTGTACGTCTTAATTGAGCATAAAAGAGGAAAAATCTGGTTTCTAGAAAAAAGTCAAATACCTAATCATCTTTCCCCCCGTGAGATGCACTACACACTTATCTATGTATACAATAATTACTTGTCTCCCAAACCATGTGATGAGAATATAGGTGCTTTAGAAATTAAGTCATTGTCTTCTTTTTATGCGTTTTGCTGAGGCATGCTAATTCATTTAACACATGTTCAGCAGAAGTTGCTCGTAAGGTTTATCATTATAATCTTACAAGAGGCAATTTATAAGCTGTAATAGAATTTTGAAATTTTTTTTCTTTCCCAAAATCCCTCCACAAAAACAGACCCTTTCAAGAGCAACATGGAGATGCTGCATGAGCCTTCCCAAATAGTGTTCATTGGAAGATCTGGGCAGTTGAAAGTCAAAACAGTGAGCAATGAAGTATTAATATAACTGGAAATTGGATGGAATATTTGCTAGGGCCTATATTTAACCATGTGTTCAAAGTCTCCAAGCTGTGCTAGTTCCTGTGAGGTATTTTGCTTTTGTGTTCCTGTCTCTTCGATATATGGACATGGATTTACAATGACATTTTATGCTTGGCATGCCATCGTGGATTATTTATAGCTTAAAAACTTTTGTGTATTAATAAAAGAACCAAATTTTAGTGATGTAAATCCCTAACCATATATTCACTCACCATTTTAAATTCCTATTTCTAACCCAAATGAAATCATGTCTGGAGTCACTGGTTCTTTCCAAATCTGTGGAGCTTGTTCTAGAGCCACTGTGTAAATTGTGCAGGCACAGATTCAGCCCCGCTCCACCATGAGAAAACTGTTTTTGCAGTAGTTTTTACTGGTATTTATAGTGATTTTTCCTCCCTGGCTCCCAAATGTCTGTTTTAAAGGAGACTGACTCCAGGGGTAGGAAGTGATTCATCATTCTTCAAAGTAAGGTTCTTAAAGGAGCAATACTGAAATCAAGATTGCTCAGGGGCTCCCTGCAGGAGAAATACGTTTTTCTTCCTGCCTTGAGAGAAGAAAGGACAGTCGATTTCTTCTGTGGGTCTATCTAGGTCCCTACTGATAACAACCAGTTTGGGTGATGGGTATGTGACAGGGACTACTTAAGTCCCATTGTCACATGAGTGGCTTAAGTATAGGTGGATTTCTAAGCCTGAGGCACTGCGGACCCGGTTCACAATCATCCTGAGTAACCCATTTCTTCTCAGCTCTTTGAGATGAAAGGCCAATACTTATTGAAGATACATCTCCTAAAATTTCCCTGCAAGTGTCCAGTGTTTTTACTTCAAGGGGTGAGTAATAAAATTACTCTCCAAAATCCCAGAGCAAGTCAGAAACTGCAAAATCAGAAATAGCCCAAGTAGACATTCTAATCATCAGAAACCACTCCTTACTTTCATAGCCAGGTAACAAGTTTCCTATGAAAACACTGGCTTCCTGCACCACAATCAAAATGTGGGTTCCATCACACTGGCTAATACAGCTCACATCATAGCTGTAAATATGAAAAATGAGAGTGTTCTACCCAATTTTAAATAAGTCTTACAGACTGCAACAACCAGAATGGTTTTCAGTTAAAGTCCTATCTGTACATTGTATTTATTAGCTGAAATGCAAGCAGGCATATTCACTTACTTCTCTAATTCTTTCTTGAGTGTTTTATTAAAACTTCTCCCTTGGTTACCTGTTATCTATTGCACTTCGAACATGTAGCCAATAAATCTGTTCCATTGCCATCAAAGGAATAAAAATCTCACCATACAAATTACATTTCAAAACAAACCCTAATAAATCCACATTTCTGTATGGCTCACTCACCTGAAATAATGCCTTATAGTCAATATGTTCTTATAGGGCAGAATACTTTCATAAGTGGAATTTGTTATTTTTTTTGTGTGTGTCATATTGGTAACATGTAGCTTTTTTCTCCCATAGGATTTTCTATAGCAAATGTAATATGCCTCTTATCATGAAAAATAAATATTGCTTTTGAACAAAACTACTCTATTATTTAGTACTCAATTGCAGTTTTAAAAACTGTATAATGTTGCAAACTTGCTTTCACAAATACATCCAACTATTGGGCATGACAAGACTGGGTGATTTCTGAGGGCTTCATTTTATAAGCCTGGAAGAGCACAAGCCTTCTGCCCAGACTGTAGTCTTCCGCTCCGTCCATTTCCTAGAGCTATTCAGTGTGACAGAGCTTGGGTTTTGTTGCTGCTGTTGTTGCTTCTAAGTGTGATTGTTTCCCCACAGACTTTTTAATGAAATGTCTTTTCCTCTGGGAGTCCATGGGTGATACAAATGGTTAGCGAACTCTACTGCTTGACGAAAGGTTGGAGGTTCATGACCACTGAGAAGAAAAGCCTAGAGATCTACTTCTGAAAAATCAGCCATTGAAAACCTTATGGAGGACAGTTCCACTCTGACACACATGGGGTCACCATGAGCTGGAATCGACTTGAAGGCAACTGGTTTTATTCTCCTCTGACATTCCCCACACAGGAAACTTCACCTCCTCTCTCCCCCTTGGGGGACTGAGATCAACCTCACAGACTCACTTCTCTTTCCCCTGCCCACCTTTGCACCTTTTCCCATGCAGACACACACCCCAGCTAAGTGACTCAGTGTTATCAGTTTAGGGAGACCAGTGGAGAGGCTACATTCCTAGAGGATTTGATTTTAAGATTTACGAAGAGGGTACAGAGACTAAAGAGAGTTTTTCTAGCTGCAGGAGTTTTTGCTGTTGCTGTAGTTCAGTCTTTATTGTCATCCTCCCAGAGACAGAATAGCAGCTGCACAGTTTTGTGTGAAATTGCCACTTCATTTGGTTTAATAGTTTCAGGTTGTTTGGGGAATGAGAGTACAGACATGTATTCTGTGGCAAGAGTTAATTGTACCATCAGAAATACTGGCTAATATGAGTCAAAGTGAAGAGAAAGGATGGGGGAAGGCTCAAATAATTCTGTAATAACAGTCAATTCAGATAACTTGAGTTTTTTTTAAGTAAAACATCATAATAACCATATATATAAATAGTATTTAATGCAAATACATTACAAAATTTTATTTAATTTCCTTAAAAGTGTATGTCCATTTTTACTCTAAGAATAACTCAACAGATGTCCAAATTGTTCATATTCTCCTAGGGTCCTCTGGTAGAACATTAAGTTAAAATTCATAAATTAGTATTCATGCCTGTAATCCTAGGAAATAGAGTTCTGTTTATTGACTGTCCTAATCAAATATGCTGAAAGATAGAATATTTATAATTCAGTGGTTTTATTGACATTCATTCAAATTCTGGTGTTTTAAAAGATCAAGTTTTGTTTTTTTTTTAGTTGCACATTGGTCTTTATTAACTCCTTTCTGTCATCAGCAGCAGTGGTAGCACTAGGGAGAAGGGAGACAAGTCAAAAGGGATGGGGTAGAAGCTGGAAAGTGATACAGGAAGTGATAAAGGAGAAGCTTGGCAGGAACCAGGAATGGGAGTGAGGGGAGGTGAGTGGGAACTTGGAGTCAGAGACGGAGGCAGTTAATCGAGACTAAGAACAATTAGGGAGAGAAACAGAATTCTGAAGGGGAAGGAGCAGCTCTGAACAATAAGAACAATGGGTGCCCTAAAATTCCCGTCAGACTCACCACTGGGGGCACTAAATCTGAATCCCAGTTCTGCCACCAAAGAAGTCATATTATTTAAGCCTCTCTGAGTTTCCAATTCCTCATCAGTTAGATAGACAGTAAGCCAACCTCTTAATGGTACTGTTATGACTATATTGGAAAATACATAAAAAGCAACAGTCCTAGACACAGACCAAGCTCTAAATAAATGGTCCTCAAAAATTTTATCATCCCCTTTGAATTTCTAGAATAGTTTTTAAAAGATCAAGTTAAAGACTACACATGCCTTCAAAACTTCACATAGCACACTGGGATATCCCCCAAATAATACAGTCAGCCATAAACAAAGGATAGCAGCAAACCACTTCATTTGGGACTTTATGCTTGCTGTTCAAGTTATAATTCTGAATTTCACAAATTAACTTCCATATTTTTTGAATAAGTTTCATTTCTATAGAGATCTCTAAAAATCCTTTAGCAAATCATATTATAAGAGAGTAGAGCTAAGTCTAAAGTAAAGATCAATGTACCCAGTACAGCAAGTTATGGGCCAAGAAATCTTCATTTTCTAACAGAACCATTTGACTTTCTAATTACAGTACAACTGTTGGATACTGGTTGCCAGCTTTAGTGGCCAGGAACCAAATGTTAAAAATACTCTTGGATTCAATTCCTATTTCAAATAATAACTGCACATGCAAGTTTTGTCTTTAAAAAGCCAGAGTCTCAGGATTATATTCTCTAACCAACCTCTTTGGTTGAGCCCATGTTATAAATTCATTCTCTTCTAGACTTGATGGTATTTCCTTTACTTCCTGTGACCCCCACACTTCTGCCCTTTCTCACCAGCCTTTACCTGCAAGTCTTCAAGTTAGAGGAAATCAGGAAAGCATGGAGGCGAGGGTCATTTGAGGAGACCAGATGCTCGGTTTCCCAAGTAAACATTTTAATAGGGTAAAATGGCCAACTATTTTAAGAAATCACAGCCTCTTGAGAATTGAGCACATCAAGTGAATATTCTCCAATTTTGTCCATTATAGTGCAAAGTTCAGAATAAGATGAATAAGGTGGTAGATAGTTATTGATTTCTATCAAAGGGAATTTAGCCACTGTTAATATGGAGAAAGCTGACTAATTTAAGTTTTTGATTCATTCAACAATAAAATTTATTAAAGCCCACTATATATCGGGTGTACACTGAGGTTCGAAACACAAGTAGGGTCACAACAGAGGATAAAATTGGACAAAGATATTCCAAGTGGGATAAACAGAAAAGACAAAGATCCCCAGCAAAAATGCACAAGGTGAATGTGGGAAAGTCAAAGAATAGAGAGAACAACTGAATGACAGAAAGGATAGGGTTCTACAGAGGGACGATAGGTAGCAAGTTTGAAAAATTAGGGTAGGACCTGATTTCACAAAGTCTCAAGTGGACGGCTAGCAAAGGAGTTTAGTCTTTCACACAGAGGATAGGAAGCCATGGGTGGTTTCTGAGCATAGTGGAGGCTGCAAAGTGTCATGGAGCTCCAGACAGAAAGTCAGAAGGCCTTGGGTATAGTGACAAGCTGCCACTCTCTGGACCTATGTTTCTTCATTGATAAAATGGAATTAGTAAAATGTTCTATAGGTCTCTTCCAGCAAATTACACATTTTGGAAAATAGCAGTCTGAAGGAAGGATGGGAGTAGGAATATGAATTATGAGACTCCTCAAAGTTCTAACAGTGAAACAGTAAGAATGCAAGTGAGAGTTCAGAGAAAGGAAAAGATGCATGCTCTCTGTGGTTGTGCAAGCCAGGCACTGCCAACTCAAGGGGATGCCATTCCCATAAATTAAGACTACAAGAAAGGTTAAGAGAATTCAAAGATCTTAGTGATTGGAGGGACCAGTCTCTGGAGAAGGACTTCATGCTTGGTAAAGTAGAGGGTAAGCATAAGAGAGGAAAACCCTCAATGATATGGATTGACACAGTGGCTACAACTATGAGCTGAAACATAGCAATGATTGTGAGGATGGCAAAGGACTGGGCAATGTTTCATTTTGTTGTATATAGGGTCACTGTGAGTTGGAACCGACTCCATTCACCTAACAACAACAACATCAGTGACTGGATGCGAAGGGGATGCAGGCAGGATGGGGATTGTCCTGGATGAAGGAGTCACTGAGTTGTAATTTCAAGGGCATTCTCCTGGGAAAACTAGGGAGGCAAGAAGGAGAAGCCAATTTTGAGAGAAGAGAGCATGTCTCTCAGAAGAGGAACCTGGGCCTGTAATGTTGACTGGGAGTCATTCTTACAATGGGGAAGTTGAAACCATAGAAGATAAAGAAGCTAAAGAACCATAGAGAAAAGGAAAGAAGAGTTCACAGAGCATACAAAAAATATGTTCCAAAAATTTATTAAATACTTAAGCAGTTGCAATTGAGTAGATTCTGACTCATGGTGACCCCTTGTATGCTCCATACTTGCTGAGGGCTAATTAAGTATCCAGCACTACATCAGACACAACAGATGCAGAGATGAATGAAACAGACTCTGTTCCTACTATTATCAATCTAGAGAATGGAGTAGATGTTAAACAAATAATTACATAAATAACTGATTACATTTGTGAAAAAGCAAAAGTATAATGTAGAATAACAAAGGTAGAATTGAGATCAGGGCCAGGAAGGGATTCCTTGCAAAAATAACATTGGAAAAGACACTGAAAGTGTGACATTAAGACGGTGGCATTATAAATGGGGGAAAAATGTGGATAGATAAGAGAAATGGTTTGAATGTTAAATTGACCGAGTTGGTGATGGAGTGGGTGTTGAAAGTAAGGCCAAGAAAGGTGTCAGTGATTTCTCTAAGGCTTTTGGCATAACAAATTGGGCAGGCAGAGGTGCCGTTTATTGAGATGGAGCACACTGGAAGAGGAGGAGATTTGGGGGGATCAAAAATTCAATGTAAGCCGTTAATACCAAGTGGCCTGTGAGACACCCAGTTGGAGATATTAAATGGGCAGTTGGGTCTGGAGTTCAGAAAAAGGTTCTGGAAATGGGGTGTGAATCTGGGAGTCATCAACACTGAGCTTTTAAAAGCCACAAAAGTAGTTGGGTCACTTAGTGGAGAGTGAGGATTAAGGGGGAAAAAGGATCATAATGTAATTCTGGCAGTATAAAGATATCCTGAGTGCCAGAGGAAGAAATGTTTCAAAGGGACTGGGCCAGTTTTATGGAGTATTGTAAAGAAGATGTAGGAGACATCTACTGAAATCAGTAAATATCTGACCAGAAGCACTCCTCCCTAAGTCTATGCCCACCCTCACTCCTTTTCTGGGATAAT